CGAGCTCAGCCACGCCCTAAACGTCGGCAACGTGGCTGCGTCACCTCCGGTGATGCAGCTTGGGGGGCGGGGTTCCTCCCGGGCCGGAATTCCCCTGCGCTGGAAATCGGGCCACGGAAGCGGGGGGCTCCCCGCCCCCCGGCCCGATTTGGCAACCCTAGACTTGATACACATGGATGTAAAATTGGTACTCATTTGAGAAAGACTACTCGAAACGAGCTTTCACTCGAGAAGTTCGTCTCGTCTACCTGTTCACCTGTTGAAAATATAAAGAATTCTTCATGAAAATCATCAGTATTCAAGATCAATTTACTTCTGTGTAATTTATTTACTGTGTGCACGTTTGCAGCAATTTCTTGTTTATGAGCGTCACTACATTGCTGCTCCCGTTGGTTTCTGTTCCATCACTGGAAGTGTGTCAGAAGGCACTGGTGGCCACATACAGCTCACTACTCAAGCCTGTTCAATGGATTTTTAACAACCCACAACTCATGCTGGAGAGTGGCACTTCCGTCACACAGGCACTGGGGGGAGCAATCTTTTCTTGCTTACAGCCTACTAACCTAAAACAACTTCTCACCCGCAATGATAAACTACTTAAAAGTAACATGACCTCTGGTACCCTGCCCTTCACTACCCTTCACTCTCCAGCATGAGTTGTGGGTTGTTAAAAATACACTGAACGGGCTTGGGTTGTGAGCTGTATGTGGCCACCAGTGGTGGTGTTGTCAAGAAGAAGTGAGCAGTGATTCATGAAAGCTCAAACCCTGCCACAATTTTTGTTAGTCTTTATGAGTATGGTGCTCTGGTACTGTTCCATTTCTGAAGCATAGGAGGTCTGGATCCATAAATCTAATATTAATAAACAAGACCTGAGAGTCAGTGTGGTATAGTGGTCAGAGTGTCAGACTGAGCTAGTAGCTCCGATTTGTATATAAAGCCCAGTAGCACCTTTAAGACTAACAAACTTTATTGTAGCATCAGCTTTCGAGAAACACAGCTCTCTTCATCAGATATATTTATGGTGAGGCCGTAGGGTTTTCAAGGCAAGAGAGTAACAAAGGTGTTTTGCCACTTTCTGCATCTGCATAGCGATCCTAAACTTCCTTAGTGGTCTCCCGTCTAAGGGCTGGCCCTGCTTAGCTTCCGAGAGCTGGCGAGATTGGGCTAGCCTGGGCCATTCAGGGCAGGGCGTCAGATTAGGATCCAGAAAAGCCAGGTTGGATTCTCTGCCATGGATGTTTGCTGGGCGGATCTCGGGTCAGCTACGACTTATTTAAGTTATGCTAATGAGCTCCCGCACCTCTTTTTCTACGAAAGGACCCCTGGCTAGAACCATTTGTATATGAAGCCCAGTAGCACCTGTAAGACTAGCAAACTTTATTGTAGCATCAGCTTTCAAGAAACACAGCTCTCTTCATCAGATACATTTATGGTGAGGCCGTAGGGTTTCCAAGGCAAGAGACTAACAAAGGTATTTTGCCACTTTCTGCATCTGCACAGCAATCCTAAACTTCCTTAGTGGTCTCCCGTCTAAGGGCTGGCCCTGCTTAGCTTCCAAGAGCTGGCGAGATTGGGCTAGCCCGGGGCATTCAGGGCAGGGCAGGAGGGCAGGTTCGGGTCCAGAAAAGCCAGGTTGGATTCTCTGCCATGGAAGTTTGCTGGGTGGATCTCAGGTCAGTTACGCACTTTACTTATTTACAGTCCACCTTCCTCGCTGAGACTTAATATTTTGTCGTGATGAGTTTGGTCATAATATCTAATTTTTAAAGAGGGGAGCATTCAGGCTTGAGATTCTTCACTTTGCAGTCCAAAGTGTTACGATCCAGGCAGAGCTTTGCCACATAACTAGTATAGACCGTCTCCATGCCCCTGCTACTGACACAGTGCCAGAACACAGCCTAAACTGGCCCACTTGCCTGGGCTGCAAGCGGCACTAGACACTTTCTCAAACTCTCAACTGGCAGCTGTCCGTGCATGTTCTAGAACAGCATTTGTCATTCAGGAGCGGAAACGAAAACAGGTTGTGTTTGTGTGGCATTCATGCAGTCCTTTTGTGCTGAGACAATGACCTTGTCATCTCTTCCTATGCAAGTGCAAACGAAAAATGTAAGAATGACCCAGACAGTAGAGTGATTTATTGGAGAAAGAGTGAAGAACCTAGCTTTCTTCTGCAAATGCAAACAAGTTAATTAATGCCCTGACCTGGACAGATTTGCAGTGGAACAACCATTGAGTCCGTACAGAACACCCCCCCAAAAAAAACCAGACTCCCAATTCAGAATAAGAGGGACTCTCCTAAAAACCTCAATCCTTTTCCTGTTAAGACTAAAGCAATTAGATTAGAGAGCTAAAGTGAAACACAGAGGCTTACAAAATCATGAAGTAGGAAGAGTGAAAAGAAACCCTCCATCTGACGAAGGATAGCGATAATGATTAGGAAATCCCTGGAGATTTGGGGGGGGTGGCCTGGGGAAGGGAGGGCGCACAGCAAGGGCGTGACACCATAGAGTCGTCCCCCCCCAAAAGCAGCTATTTCCTCCAGGGCAACAGATTGCGGTAGCTTGAAGAACCGCTTAACAGCTTAATTCTGGGGAAACTCCAGGTCCCATCGGAAGGCTGGCAACCATCTGGCAGGACTCCAGGTCACCCAAGTAAATTCTCCGTAATGTGTAATGACCCTAATGCATAACTAGCCTATGGGATTCAATACTGATGCACTCACACATTCAATCAAGTTCCTCAGAAATACAGTATTAAAATAAACACTGTTGCATTAGCAGGTGGGGGTGTTGATGGGTGATACTTATCTGTCTTTGCAGCTTTGGTTGTTCCAATGAGGAATGGATGGGAAGAAATAGAAATCTAGGGAGTTGTAACACACGACTAGAACCAGCCAGAACGTGTTGGTCTCTTGACTGCAGATCAAGAGATCAAAGTAGAGGCAAGGGTTTGGGGATAGCAAGTGGGATTCAAGAGGAGTATAAAGCAGACAGGGGTTGTTGCGGGGATTGCTAGCTAGGAAGGGCCAGGTGAATGGTCTTTTCCTTTTATAGGTGGTCCACTGGGTGGGAGGTAACTGTTCCAACCTGTGGACCCAACCTTCCTGTTAGTCCGTCCCAAAACTAATCCTATTGGTTGCCTATAGGAGTGGGAGGTTGCCTATAAGGAGTGGTCAATATTGACATCTAATACCTTACTCAAGGGAGACATCTGGGCAGGTGTGAAACCTTGGCGTCAGGATGCTTCATCGAAGTGTTGATGAAGCTGGCCATCCTATTGTAAACCAAATGTCCATTTGGCAGGAAATACCAATGCAGGAACAAAACATGGATGTGTCGTAAGTGATCACAACTCGATCTGCTCTTCTCAAGTTGTTGTTTCTTACTGCTCACAATAATGGAGGTGTGTGCTTCTTCACCAGGCTGATAACTGTGTAACTGAAACCTTATTCACGTGTAAGGCTTGTGCAGGCACCTTCTATGTGTTGCATCACAACAGGTGACTTGGAACGTACAGTTCTCTGAGCCTGTGTGTGTGCACAGTCCATTGTGTGTAGCAATAAATATAAGTCCATAAAGCAAAATATCAGGTTCATTCTCAAACACTGAGGCCTTCATGTTGAGAAAATAGTTGGGGGGGGAGGCTCAAGTGTCCTACCACATCACAGCTCCATCACATCACAGTTCCGATCTGAATGAGGCTCGCTCCCATTGATTTTTAGACAAAAAACTGGGAATGCTGGGCTCAAAACTCCCAGCCTCGCATCTGTTGAAGACATGAGTTCCATAAGTCACTAAGATGTAGAACTCCCTATAAATAGCAAGGCACACCCCTGGCCTTCCTGATTCTGGTATGTTGATTTCTGTCTCCAAAAATCAATCAGTACCCTCAGGCAAACTTAGCTCACCAGTCTAGGGTTGCCAACATCAGCCGGAGCCGGGAATTTCCTCAGAATTAGAGTTACAGAAATCAGATCAAGATAAGTAGCTGTGTTAGTCTGTAACAGTAGAAAAGAGCAAGAGTCCAGGAGCACCTTAAAGACTAAAAAAAAATGTGGCAGGGTAGGAGCTTTCGTGAGTCACTGGTACCTGAAGAAGGGAAAGCTGGAACTCTCAGAGGTCATTTCACAAGAGGCCAAGGTACTACGCAGGGTGCCAGAACAATTTCAGAGGAGGTTAAGTCTTAATGACTTCTACCAGACAAGCAAACCGATAATATCAAGACAGCCTGTGCACATAAGAGAAGAGACTGGATCTATACCCCGCCTTTCACTCAGAGTCTCAGCAGTTTACATTCTCCTTTTCCTTCCCCTCCCCCACAACAGACACCCTGTAAGGTAGGTGGGGCTGAGAGAGCTCTCTCGAGAACTGCCCTTGAGAGAACAGCTCTGAAAGAACTTGTGACTGACCAGAGGTCACTCCAGCAGCTGCATGTGGAGGAGTGGGGAATCAATATCCAGTCCTCCCAGATTAGAATCCGCACTCCTAACCACCACACCAAATGAGCATGAATATCCAAGAGGCCATTCTCTGCTGAACTGCCTCACCCACAAGGCAGTGGTTGACAGGGTTGTACCCCAAACAGCCTCAGACTCAGAGACCAACAACTCAGCCATTCATTGCACTTAACTGTTTATTGGCATACAGACAAAGAAGCACATCTGTGACAGAAGAACCTCAGATACAGCCTTCTGTACACCAGTCCATTGCAAGCAGGAAAGAGGTGCAGTGACTGAGGAGGACTGGGCTGGGCTTGAACACCAGTCATAAACTTGAATAACGCCAACCCCAGAAGCTTTTAGATAATATTGTTGACTGAGACAGGCATCAGTTCCTTGGATAGATGTTGTCTGCCAACACCCTTCTGATCTCTTTTACCGAGAGAAAAAGAGTCCTACATTTTTAGACAGGCATCGTACATTACAAGCTACAGGTGATACCAGTCCGCTAGAACATCATCCTACTGCTTGATCCCCCAAGACTGGAATTGACGTCACTTCAGGCATCCGTCTGCACCTCCTCTTTCGGCTCTGTCAATTTTGCCGCAGAAGCTCCAGCAGGAGAGAAAGGGCCCACAATCCAGGTGAGGGGAGCATTCTCAGCCACATATTCCAGGAGTTCATCCAGAGCCTCCCGGGCCTCGGCCATCTTCTCTTCGCTCTGGGCCAAGAGGTTGTTGGAAACATCATGGAAGGATTGTACACTGGAAAAGGCCGCCTGCAGGTCTTCCATGTTGCTGTAGGTCTGCCTCACCATTTCCTGGAGAGCAACGGGGAGGCCCTGGACATTGGCCAGGAGGCTCTGGCAGATGGCTTGAAGCTTCTGGGCGAGGCTGCGGGAGAGTCCCAGGGCCTGGGACCCAATCTTTGATAGAGAGAAGAGAGATGGGTTTGTCAGCCTGGAATCTGAGAGCCCTCCTTGGCCATCAAACCTTTGTGGATGGCCTTGGGCTAAGCACTCTCAGCCTGACTTCCCTGAAAGTGTTTTTGTTGATGGATAAAATGGAAGGTAAATTGCTTTCTCTCTCCCCTGGGGATAGAAACAGGGTAACAAACAATGATTCAGAGAGCATCTTTGGAGACACTGGCCAGCCCAAGGCTGACTTTGGTTCAGCAATACCACAGCATCATCATGCAAACTCAGCATTGCCAAGAGAACAGACGTTGTTAAGGATGCAACATACCTCCACCTGACCCTCTCCATCAGCCTCATTCTGCTCCACTGGCCGGCTCTTCTTCCATGCCAGCCACATCTCCTGCAGCTTCTCCTGCCCATCTTGAATTTTTTGATCCACGGCCTGCTTGGCATACTTAATCTGGGACATTAAGTAGTATCATAATTAGGCGCACCTAGGTATTATTGTCCACGTAGCTCCACCCCCTTCCATCTCTTCTGCTAAGTACATATAATTTCACTAGGGAAGTTCTCAACATTCCGTAATGCTGGCATGAGCAAGAAAGACCATCTGGGTTAAAGTTAAGCAGGGGCCCCTACTGCGTTCCAGGAGTCAAGGAAGCCTCGCTCTGCCTGAGGGGACTGGCCTCAAGGATCCCTAAAAACATGGGCAAAGGGACTCTGATCCCCATCCACCCTAATCGACAGGTCTTTAGCTAGTAAGAAGATACTTACAGAGTGCCTTTTCGACAGCAATGAGCAACAACCAGCACCACCAGGCCCATAGCTACTGTGGGGCCACTCGGGGCCCAGCCCCCTGACTTACTGCCAAGGCCCCCTGACTGCCAGTTTTTTATTTATTGTGCTCACCGCCGGCAACCCCTGCGCCACCCTCCAATCCCATGCCACTCTCTCTCACCAGCTGTGGCCACTCTCATCAGCAAGCTGGCAAGCGCTCTCTCATCATCAGCAAGCTGGCAATAAGTCACACCCCTGCCACCCTCCAATCCCACACCACTCTCACTCGATGGCCACTGCCACTTTTCGCTCTCTCTTGTCTCCCACAAGCTGGCAAGAAGTCAAGTCCCACACACCCCTCCAATCTCACACCGCTCTCTCTCACCTCTCGCCGACTGCGGCCGCTCTCTCTCATCGCCGGCAAGCTGGCACTGGACTCAAAGTATTTTCGCAGTTAGTAGTGTTTGCATTTGTTGGGCTTGCAACAGTGTTCCTATTCAGTTTGATGTGGAGGATTTTCTGGTTTGACGTCGGTTGGGGTTCTCAGGTTGTACCTTTTTTGTGTTCTGCATTGGTTCTTTAGGCTTCAGCGTACAAGTTCTCATCAACCATCCAGGGAAGAGAGGCGCTGTTCTTGTATCCTGATTCTCCCCAAATGTTCCAGTATCCAGAGACCCAGTACTAGCACACGCTAAATATGAGAGCCTGAATGTGCTGCCCTCCTCATCTTTAAAAACAGGGCTGGAGCCAGGGATGGAAGCAAATACTGAAATTCCAAGCCTCTGTCCCAAGGATTTGGGTTTCAGTTTAAAATACAGAACCATAATGAAAGTGTGCAGCCAAGGCTTATTTTATACCCAGTGAGTACAAAGGCACAGACTAGACACTTCCAGCTTCTCAAATTGGTCTTTTGCTAACGGGTTTGGCCATTTTACATGAGGTCACAATGGACCTTCCACCCTAAAAGGTAAAGGTAAAGGTTCCCTTGCTCGAAAGCCAGTCGAATCCGACTCTAGGGTTGCGGTGCTCATCGCCGTTTCAAAGCCGAAGAGCTTCCACCCTACAGACCCATACACCATTCCTCTACACCACACACCATTACTATACAGTCTGTACAGGTCTGCCTTAGCCCATGCCTGAACCCAAAAAAGTGGGAGATTCTTTGTCTGCTTACATCTTACCCTGTCCTAGCAGGAAGACCCTTTGCTTTTTCTCAAGACATCATCTGTTCAGCCACCCAACCCTTCTGTAGTCCTCTACACCCGAGGCTACCCTCAACCAGGCCTTTTTTGGCCCAGCTTGGTGAAACTCTCAGCCTACAAACATCAGGGAATTGTTACAATTCTGTAGGACCTGTAAGGCAGAGTTGTTCTGCCAAGCATATGGCTGAGGACAGCAATGTTTTTTTAACATCAATGTGTTAACATCAACGGTCTAAAGGTCAACAGTTGCCAACAGACATTTGGTTGAGAGCCAGTTTGGTGTAGTGGTTAACGGTGATGGACTTTAATCTGGAGAACTGGCTTTGATTTCCCACTCCTCCACATGCAGTTGTTGGGTGACCTTGAGCTAGTCACAGCTTTCTCAGAGCTGTTCTCTCAAGAGTGGTTTTCTCAGAGCTCTCTCAACCCCAGCTACCTCACAGGGTGTCTGTTGCGGGGAGGGGAAGGGAAAGGAGATTGTAAGCCCCTCTGAGACTCTGAGTGAAGGGTGGAGTATAAATCCAATCTCCTCCTCTTTCATGAACTGCTTTTACATGCACACCCTCCCCTGCTGTTCTACTAAAGTAAATTGGGGATTAGAATTTTATTACAGCACCATGTGGGTATTGAGTATTTTTAGACTGTTGATGATTTTTATGTATTCTTGTAGGAATCTGTTGCACACTGCCCTGAGCCCGCTTGTGGGGAGGGTGGCATAAAAGCCGAATAGAATAAATAAATGTGCAAGGAGCAAGCCCTCCACTGTCTTTGGAAAGGAACCAAACAGCATCCCTTTCCAAGCCAAGTATTCTGCTTCTCCTTCAGAAGCACCCAGGAGGCATCAACTTTGCCCCTGCGGAGTCCACCCATTTGGAAGCAGTTGCTTTCAGCACAGGAGAATACTTGGCTTGGAACTTCTCAGCATTTTGTAATCGGGTTTTCCTTCCATGGTAGGACCTGCTGGCTCCCTGAGGCTGGAGCCTCTTGCTCTGGGACTGCTGAAGAGGTCTTTGTGTTCTTACCAGGGGTCGTTTTGTAGAAAAAGAGGTGCAGGAGCTCATTAGCACAACTCCTTTGCATATGCCACACCCCCTGACATCACCGGAAGTGTGTCAGAAGGCAACACCCACCGCTCAGGCTCCACTGGACTGTTTTGGATTGCTAGCTACTGGGGGAGGGGGGAATGTGCAGATCTATCCTCGCAGAGGAGGGAGAGCTTTTACCTGAAGAAAACTTGGTCTTAAAGGTTACACTGGACTGTTTTGGACCAGGGGACCGACGGAGCTTGGTCGAGAGGGAGCCCAGCTGCACATAGTAGCTTTGCTGCTGTTTCTGCTTCTCTACAGGAGCTATTCCAGAACCTTCCAACTGCAGGGAGGCTGCAAGGGAAGCTGGAGAGAGGAGAGAACTTGGTCAGAGCAGTTTGGCCTTGCTGCAATTCTGATTCCTATGAAAAGAATGTCAAGGTTGGCCATCTTGAGCTGGAATAGGAGCGACACCTTAGTTTCTTCTTTTCCTCTCTTTCTCACTCATTCCTTTAGTGGCATCATATCCTTCCTGCCCCACCAGTAGTACTTGTCTCAGTACTTCTTTGAGCCTCACCAGGATTCTTGGCAGACAGGAAGAGTCACTTCAGCCATTTATACCCCACTTTCCCCATCATGGGATACCTAAAGTGGCTTCTAAAGTCTCCTCCCTTCCATTTTATCTTCACAGCAAGCCTAAAGGGTAGGTTTCAGCTCATCCAGCAGGCATCCATGGCAGAGCGAGGATTTGAACCCAGACCTTAGCCTGACACTCTAGCCACTATACCACACTTGAACCGTACTCTGTGCTGGCTCCCTGTCACCCCTACTTGCCACATTTTAAACACTGTCATTGTAGAACTGTGTCACTGTGTCAAGATAGTTTGGGTGTTGGGGAGGATTACAGAACCCCTTCCCTTTCTCATCAGTCCTTTTCGCTCTATGTTGGACCCTCCATGTTCTATGCAACTGAAGTGAATTCAAGTGTAAACACACAGATCTGCAGCTATTACATATAGTTTGAGCATGATGCGTGCATTTTTTGCAGGCAACAGGATGGAAGTAAAGCCTATCAGCTGGTCTCTTCTCAATGAACGGTCAGATCTACCAATGATCCCTATTTCTGATATAATCTGAGAGTAGAACTGTTTTGTAACGATTCCATATTTACTGTATGTGTGTTTAAAAGTTTGGTTGGTGTGAGGAATCTAGAGTGCTGGAAGCAAGCAAGTGGTATGATTGGTGAGTGACAGAGAGGGGGAGGGTTTTTGGAATGGATGCTGTGTGGATGATTGGAATGTCTATCCGGTGTGACTGTGAGGTATGACAGTTGAGTTAAACAGTTAAACAGACAGTTGAGGAGAGAGACAGCAGAGAGTGCTGTACAAAAGCAGTTAATATATGAGTTTTGTCCTGAGGTCTCTGTGTGAGAAGTTTTCCTGGGTGAAATATAAGAGTAAAGTCTCTGTGTTATACGAGTTACAATTGAAAGCTGAGAGTCTAAGAAAAGTACAGTGAAATATTGTTACAAAGTGGCTTTATCCTCCCTGTCAGTAGAGGAGAGGCTTGTGAGAGACACCAAGCATTTGGTCAAATCATTCCCAGTACTGTTTACCTTGTTCACCCTCGTGTTTATACTTTCGTTAAATAAATCCTATTTACTTCAAGTTTACCAGCTAAGTAAAGAATTCTTCCACAGACCACATAGTTCCTCGAAAGGCCTAGACCCCGCGCTACAATACCAACCCCAGAAGCAAAGAGAAGAATTGGAATTTATAGAAATTCCTGGTGGCAGCTAGAATACCCTACAGAATAAAACATAAAGAACATTTTAAAAGTAAAACTAGACCTCCCCAGATAAGAGGTCGTCACATATTTGAACAGTGAAATAGACCTGAAGCCATAGAATGGCTGTTCCCATGCTCCACCTCAAGCTGGGACATGCCTTTAAGCATCATTAAATCTGCTGGAAGTTCAGTAGAAACTAGTATCTTTAGGCTATGTCTGATCCTTCTCATAAGGACCCATGCTCTGCTGCTATGCTTTAGGCCTGCAGTTCAGTCTCTGAACACTCAGTTGCTAATAGGTAAAGGTAAAGGTTTCCCTTGCTCGAAAGCCAGTCAAATCTGACTCTAGGGATGCGGTGCTCATCTCCATTTCCAAGCCAAAGAGCCAGCACTGTCCAAAGACATTTCCGTAGTCATGTGGCCGGCATGACTAGACGCCGAGGCACACGGAATGCTTGTTACCTTCCCACTAAAGTGGTACGTATTTATCTACTTGCAATGTCTTGTTTTCAAACTGCTAGGTTGACAGGAGCTGGGGCCAGAGACGGGAGCTCACTCCATCATGCGGCACACTCGGGTCTCGAACTGCTGAACTACCGACCTTCTGGTCTGCAGTTCAGCGTCTTAACCACTTGAGCCAACACAGCCTTCTAATTGCTAATACTTTCCCTTAAAATCCTCTCACATTTGTCCCTTCGAAGTCTTGAATTAATTAGTACTCCTACTACTGCAAACTCCATTTAATTTTGTTAGTTCGTCCCTTGCTCTTTTTCCTGATCTCTTCCTTCTCTCTATTCACTCCAAGCTGTCTCAGTTTAGGCTGTATACTCCTTCAGGGCAGGAAGCAGGTCTTGCATGATAAACCACGTATGACTGCATCTTTAAACAAGCTCTGGAAGGTTTTGTTGTTTTTTTAAACACCTGATGAGTGTTCTTGAAAAGCTGCAGAACAGACTCGAGTCCCACAGAAACTGGAGCTTGGACAGGTGCCAGTACACAGAGTTACCTACAAGCACTTCAGGTCTGATCATGGTGACTCTGATGCATTAAGGACACTATTAGACTTGTGCTGCTAGTAACTCACTTTCCAGGTATCTGTCCCCCATAGGGTTGCCAGATGAGGCTGACAAGCCAGCAGGAGACTTTCCAGGAGCCTCTGGGAGAGGGGAGGGAAGACGCATGATTGAACGCCAAAGGAAGTTCTGGCCGTCACATTTAAAGAGATGGCATTCCTTTCAAATGCCTTCCCCTCCACTGGAAATAACGGGGGCACCTCCTTTTGGGGCTCATAGAATTGGACTGCCTGGTCCAATCCTTTTGAAACTTGGAGCTTTTTTTCAGAAGAGGGACTGGATGCTATGCAAAAACTTTGGTGTCTCTACTTCAAAAAAAACCCCAAAAAACCCAGCCCCCCCCCCGAGTTCTAGATAGCCGAAGATCGATTCTCCATTTACCCTATGAGGACCAGTCCCCATAGGGTATAAAGGAGTGCTCAGTGGAGATCCCCCCCCCCCGCCGCTTTCTGCTAACCCTGAAGCAGGGGGAGGGCTCCAAACCAGGGGATGTCCCACCCCCAACTGGAGATTGGGACCATGGCAGGCAGTGAGGGGCTTAAGGCTTCTCCACATGCCAATTCCCCAAAGCTGAAATGGCCCTCAAAGTGCTATGTATACTGAAGGGGTACAAATGAGTTTCCCCCAATGAGACAAGTAGCACCCCCAGGACTATTTCAAGTCAGGATAGCTGTGTGGATGACTCCTATGTGTGATGACTCCAATCCAAACTGGGCCCTATGCACTTAGAAATCAAGTTTCTAGCAGTGAGCTTCCATAACACATCTGTTCTTGTGGCAGAGCCAGGTGTGCCAGGAAGACTATAATATGCAGCTCTGATCTGAATAGCCCAGACTAGCCTGATCCCATCAGATCTTGGAAGCTAAGCAGGGTCAGCCTTGGCTAGTATTTGGAAGGGCGGCCTCCAAGGAATACCAGGGCTGTGACACAGAGGCAGGCAATGGCAAAACCACCTCTGAAGTGTCTCTTGTCTAAAAAGCCCCAAAGTCTAGCTCACCATCTAGTGGTGCATAACACTAAACAGAGCTAGAACTTCTGGCTGCCAGACAATCTTAGGATCTCCTGGCTATTCTACACACAAGGCCATACAATAATTATTAGTAATATGCAGTTAGGTCTCGAGTGGGATCATAATCCAGCAGCGTACAAAGACCATTTTTAGAGGCCAAGTAAGTGGTATTTTGGATAACCTAGGAAGCAGTTACATCAGGGGTACCCCATTTGTTACCCACCAACACCTTTTCTGTTCCCCGTCAAATGTTTTTAGAAAGTGGATAGGGCCAGGTGGGGCTTTTGGCCAGCAAAGCTTCTGATTGGTCACTGGAGATTTGATTGGAGATATGATTGGCCATGTGGATTTTTAAAAACATTGCTTTGGTGGTAGCCACAAGGATCTTCAAAAGCTTGGCTGAAGGTAAGCTGTGGCAGCCATCTTGTGGCTGGCCTCACCCCCTTTGAGAGCCATTTGGTGGCTGCACCTGCCATGCCATGTCAAAATTTCAAAGGTGTCCAGAGGTTCAAAAAGGCTGGGGACCCCTGAGCTAGATAGTGAGTACAGTTGACGTTGGCATTCAACATACAAGCACTTCACAAGGGTGACTTGAAGAAACTTGTTTCTCCAGTACTTACCTAGCTCTTCATCAGTGACTGGGAGCTCTTCAGATTTTTCAATCACTTTGTCAACCCCACCAGCAACCATGGCCAAGCTGGTCTCCATCACAGTGTTCACACCACTGGTCACTGCTGATCTGGCCATCTCCATGCTTTCCTGGGCGGACTCTTTGGCCACATCTACCATACTTGACATCACATCCTTCACATCAGTGACTTTTGAACAAATAGAGTCCTTGGCACCAGCAACAAGATCTTTGGTATCCAACACCACCTGGAGATAAAGTCCAACGGAACAAAGGTCAAGGGACAGTTGCAAACACCACTAAGGCAGAGTCTAATGGTTTCTTCCGAGTAGATATGGAACTAGAGATCCTTCTAGCACACTTACTAGGAATAGGCTGTTTCTAAGTTACTGTTACAGTGCTTCATGTGCATGCATGCACTGTCCTTCTAAAAAGGAAGAAAGCCAGGGCCTTGCCACCGAGTAGATGGTGAAGACCACTGCACTAGGGTATTCATCATTCTATCCAGTTTGTAACTTGGGGCCAGTCATCTAGATCCATCCTGTCACAGTTATGATACTGCTGGCCTGACCCATCTTAGATTAGGTGCATTTTAGCTGTAGGTCACAGTTTATCAGCTGAGGAACATCTGCTAGAAAGACAAAGCCTGAATTTAGAGCCAATAGAGAGGGTGCAGGAAATACTGAAAGCACTTAAGTGAAACCTTTACCTTTTCCACTGTCTGTTGCAGGACAGGCAGTGTCTCCTGTAGCTTGTCGAGGCCCTTACAGGCATAGGAGTTTGCTGCAGCAACTAGAAGAAGAAGAAGAGATTGGATTTATACCCCACCCTTCACTCAGAGTAGTTTACAATCTCCTTCCCTTCCTCTCCCCACAACAGACACCCTGTGAGGTAGGTGGGGCTGAGAGAGCTCTGAGAGAACTACTCTTGAG